TCGCCAAACTTGTCCACCTCCCCGCCGCAGATGCATCGCTGCGAGACGGTTGCGTGCGAGAGGGCAATGCCGAGACACCCGGCGACGGCGTGGCGATACTGAAAGTTGTTCAGTGTCTTGCTATCGCTGGAAGGGATTGCTGACAGCCAATCAGACGAAAGAGGCCCTTGGCAGCTCAGAAGACGGGCGCGGGCTCTGCTGTCGGAAGGGAGGGAGTTGAAGAGCTCGTTGAAGCGGAACTTGTGCAGTTGATCGGTCAGGCGCTGCTGTAGCCGAACCTGCGGTCTCGAGAGGAAGTCTTGGAGGGAGGGGAGGGAGAAGGAGGGGCCGACCACTTCCGAGATGGCAGCGAGGGCGGGGATTGCCGCTTGAAGCCATGGCAGATCCAAAAGAGCAGCGGGCCCACCCTGAGGCATCCACGGTGCTCCTCGGAACCGGCTAGAGACGTCAAAAGCCGTCACACCGATCGAGCCCAGAAAAGCCGCACGGGCAATCGTGGATGCGGAGACAAAGCCAAACCCTCCCAGCCGGATGGGTAGCTGCACTTGTGCGGAAACCGATGCGGGGAAGTCGCCGGGAAAGCGGAACATGCGCCTGAATGCCGTGATAATGGCGGCGTCATGTCGCTCGGCGGCTGCCAGGGAGACATCGGATTCTGGGGGAAGGAGGCGCAGCCAATAGTTCAGCCGGGGGGATCATAATAGCGGAGAAGTAGGCCTGAGCCCTGTAATCCCTTCTGAGCAAAAGTCACGATTGCGTCGAGCAGCGGTTGGTGGCCGCTGGTGATCTTCTCGAGGCTATGCTGGATGAAAGAGTTGCCGCCTAGCGGGCAGCCGAGGACAGTGATGCCATCAGTGGAGCATTTGACGCCGGAAGCAGCGATGTCCGCTGGGATGTCGGAGTCTTGTTGCCAGCGGGGGCTCCATGCAGCACTCTTGTCTCTACGCAGCCGCGATTTCTTCTCGGCCAGAAGCTGCTCGGCTCTGTCCACATACCCCGTCACACGTGTCTCGTCCAGTCCACCATCGATGTCATCCATGAACGCACTAACAAAATCGTCGGGGAACTCCTGTTGCAGCTTGACGAGAGCGAGATGGAGGCCCAGGCAGAAGAGGAAAGGGCCTGCCGCATCGCCTTGTTGAGTGCCCTCCTGACTGAGGATGATCTCTGTGCGTCCGTCCTCCATCCGATACCACAGCTCAGCCGGGGTACCGTAGAACTGCCAGAAGAAATCGAAAAAGCACGGCCACTTTGTGCCGAGCTCGTCGAGGATCGCCTGTCGGTCGATGCTGTTGAAGGTGTTCTTGCAATCCAAAGTCACCAAAACCCGTCTGTCGGAGTCATCGCGGCGTGTCTCCATGTAGGTCTGACAGGCCCGGAAAATCTTCTCTCCGCCTGCCGACGTACCAACCGCAAACTGTAGAGGCGCGAAGTCGTCCTCAAAGGCCAGCTTGTTCTCCATACAAACTGCCTTCGTCACCCATCTCCAAAGCACATCACCCACAGCAATCGGCCGGACACCACCGTTGTTCTTCATCAGAGCGAAAAGGCGGGCCGCCGAGAGAGTCGTAGTGCAGCTGTCCGGCATGTTCTCAGCGAGCATCCGGTTGACAAAGGAGGGTAGAGGGACGGTCCCGTCTTCTGCCGAGGCGTCACCCTCTCCCATGCAGGCACGAAGATGCTCATACCGCCATCAGGTCGGGCCCGCTGCAGAACCTCGCGGCGCCGTCTTGAGAGGGCAGCTAGTAGAACTCTGGGCGGGACCGTGAGAGGGACGGCCGGCTCATCTGGGCTGGTATGGGTCTGCGGCTTTCTGGGGAGCGGGGCTGCCGGGTGTAGGTCCTTGAGCTGCTGGAGCGTTGCCGCTGTCGCCGGAGCGACCTTGGCGGCCGTCAGCCGCCTTGCCGCACGCGACAGCTCTCCCTGTTTCACAAATCTCTCTGCTGCTCGCAGCTTGATTTCCTCCAGGGATGGCTCAGACACGCCGTCCACCGGTCCATCGCCGCGTGGAGCAAATATGTGGCGACCCTGTTTAGCAAAATTCCGAGACTCGTCGAGCAATCCTTGCCACTCTCCAGCCCAGAACCGCTGAAAGCGAGCGCTCCACTTGCGATGGCCGCCCTTTCCGCCGCGATTCATCGGGAAGAGCAGCATAGTCGGCACGAAAATGGCTGTCAGGCAGCCGACATCCGAGTCCTCTTCGTCCTTCACGTACTTCTCGGTAGTGTCCACCACCATGCTTAGCGATTCCCGGACACACCCAGGTATGCGGGATATGGTGCGAACGCCCAGCTTGAAATGATCATCCCATTGCTCGGCGGTGAGACTGCAGAGATAATCAAGCCCACGCTGCGGGAAAATGCGTCTCGAGCGAAACCAGTGGGAGTCGTGGGGCGGGTCTGGTGGTGGACCTGGGGGAGGTGGAGGTCCTCCGCCGCTTGGGGGCGGCCCATTGCCGCCCGAGTCACCATCTCCTGCTCCGCCATCCCCCGGGCCACCGGGTGGCGGGCCGGGCGGCGGCGGGAGTGCGAATCCCCCTCCACCTCGAGCACCGCGGACGCCTCGTGGGGCTCCACGCGTTCCTCTACCGCGACCCCTCCCCCGAGCTCGGCGCGGCGGCGGCTGCGAAGCACCACCTTCACCATCCCCGCCTCGCCCCGTCGCATCACGGGTATCTAGGGGCGTGTCTCGGGTGTCCGGAGCCGGATTGACCGTGTCTCGGTTGATCGAAGGCGGCGGCGGTGGCGGGGGAGGTGGAGGGGGCGGGGGTGGTGGTGGGGGTGGTGGGGATGATGGAGGCGGTTGAGAGCCTCCTCCCGGGCTCGAACAGGAGGGCGGCGGGGGAGGGTTGGGCGCAGTCTGCTGTCGTCGCAACTCACGGGCCCGACGGCCTCTCCCCCTGTGTTGCCCCGCCTCCCGCTGACGGAAGCACTGACCGCCACAGAAAGCCGTACATATCATACATCTGCCAAAACCCCTGTTCCTGGCTGAGCGCCGGCGGGCGTCTGGCGGCGGCTGAGAGGAGGGCGTAGGGGCGGCGGGGTCATCAAGCCAAGCTGACAGGACGTCTCTCAAGTCGCAAAGCCCTTCTGGAGGACCCGGGTTCTCCGGATCAAAGCCTTCGCGTGCTGCGATCTCCGCCGCGGCGGAAGGTCGTGTGGCGTCCCACGCATCGAGGATGTCGTCCGATTCTCGAATGCCCTCGGACGGGTCACGATTGTCGGGGTCGTAGCCTTCGCGCGACGTCATATCAGCCAGAGCCTCAGGTCGGCCAGGGGGAAGCGTGGGGCGATCGCCGCCATTCGGCCCCGCCGCCAAAGATGGATCCGCACCCGAGGGTCCGCGGTCCTCGCGAGATATCAGCTCATCCAGAGTGAGTTGCCCGCTGGCACCTGCCCCTCCCCTGCCCCCTGTCAAATCGCGATCATCCGCAATATCCATCCATCCGCATCCATCCATGGTTTCTCCCACTTCACTCGTCCTGTCGACTTCTCGGCCATCTCCTGTGGGCGAGAAGTCTATGTGGGTGTCCTGATCCTGCTGTTGTTCCAAGCCACTAGAAGCCACTTCCTCCTCCCACTCCTCACGTGGCGGTGCAGCCGCCTCCTCTTGCAGACGCCTGCGGGTGCGGCGTTGCCGTTGTCTATCAGTGCGACGCTGGCGTCGGATGCCCGAGCGGGGGGAGGTCTGTAGATCGGCGATGCCCTCTGGGTGAGAAGGAGGCGGGACGAGGCGGGTCGGTCCATTGGTGGCAGCTGGGGGACGTGTCTCCGTCTGACGGGCCCGCAGCATGGCCGTCAACGCTCGCGACTTCAGCGCAGGCGCAGGGCCACTCACCACATCGGCACCAGTCGCCTGCAACTTCCCCACCCGCTGCGGGGTCACTCCCATCCAACAGTAGCAGGGACATGAAGTGGTTGCCAGCGTAGAAAATAAAGAGTATCGGCGGGGGGGGAGGGCTCCAGGACCGTCCTGGGTCGCTGCACACGTCCGCCCTCAGGGTGAAGTGTCTCATGCTCGCTGAGCAGGAGCGGGACGGTGGGGTCTTCGAATTGTTCCTCGGCAAGGACGCAGAGAACGATGGAGGCTCCCGTCACCTTGGCCAGAGAGCGCACGTCACACTCGGTAAGTGACGAATTCTGCATGACGTCCAAGATGTGGTCGCGAGGACTCGCAACAAGGCGTCCAATTGACCCGACGAACGCCGCCGTTCAAGGTCCCCCACCACCAGCCCGCGCAATTCTGCCGGTCCGGGGATAGGGATGGGAAGACGATCAGCCGGCTGTTCACTGTCCGTGTGTCATGGTTTTTCCGGAAGGAAGGTGATTTCGCAGAGGAGGGAGGTAGCGTTGAGGGGCGTGGCGTGTCTGTGGGGCGCATGAAATGGCCGGTGTGTTTACTGCGAGCTCTTCTCTTCGAAAGGGGTCTGTTTCTTGTACAGGTAAGCTGCGTGGATGCGTGTGGGGCGTGGTGTGTGTTCGGGAGGGTGCGTATGTCATCAGCATGGGCACAAACCTCTGCATGTATGGATGTGGTCTGTTTCTTGTACAGACACGTCATGGTGTGCTGCTAAGGGACTCGGCGTCCCCTCTTCGGCTGAGTAGCCTCCCCCTGGCCATAGGAGACCGGACCTCCAGCGGCACGCACGTCAACAACCACTGTGCTCGTTTGCCCAGGCCCTTCTCAGCTCTCTGCGTCCGCCTGACCAACAGCCTGAGGCTCTGTCAACAGATCCAACTACAATGTCTATCGCCAGATCCAGGTCGGCCGATGTGATGCGCAGCCCTCACGGCCGCCAAATCGTCGGCGGCCGTGCCGCCACGTCTTAAGACGGTGTGGTGCCACATCCTTCAGGCCGTAAAGCGACAGAGCCCGTCCCCACCCTCAGAGAACGGCGACCCACCCGACGGCCCTCCATTCAACCCCTTCCAGCACCGCGCCGAGATGCAGCAAGCGGTCAAGGAGGGGCGG